ATTGAAACGACAAAATTTCAGCGGTAACGCGTAATGAGATAATAGTAACAATTTCTATGTAATAAATGCACTTGAAATGACCATTAGAGATCTGAGGTTTTGCCACTGGCTTCGTGTGTCATTTCCATTTAAGCGATGAGCGAGACTCAAAGGGAGATGCGGAGGAAACTCGGTGGGCGGTGGGTGGTGGGCTGTGAGGGGGTGGTGAGGGGTCTTCCGCGTAATTAAACTGCGCGTCGGGAAACCACGTCCGGGGCACGTTTTCCAACCCGCCACGGATTCGCAATTAACCCCCTTTAGTGTCGTTGGACGAATGTCGTGTAAACTCACATTCGACTGGTTTTGTACGTCAGCCGGTGACGGACGATATCACTGACCCATTGTTACACCTCCGACACTCGAACAAATAGGAAGAGATGTGAGAGAACTGACGAGGGACTGACGAATAATAAAAAAAACAATCGAGAATTTATCCTGAGATTTTGCAAGGACTTGAAAATTTCCAAATTTTTCCTCCGAAAATCGGAGTAAATATGACGTGATGTTAATTTATTGGAATTTCATTCTCAAAATTTTCACGTGACGCTGAATTTTCATATCGATGTGCAGAGCCCATTCTGAATTCATCTCCACACGTTGAAAAATTCAATTGAATATTCATGAATATTTTCCACAATCCGACGTATTGAAATGACATTTGTTAATCAAGAAATGTTTATTTCATGAAATCGATAGGATGAATGGTTGGAGTACAAATAAATAATTATAAGGAAATAGTCTCACCTCCTCAGAGATTCTATTTACTCGACAAATTTGATTTACTGGGTGAAACGAATTCACTGAGTGAGAAGTTGAATACAATCACGAGTGAGAGGTAACAAGGGGTAAAGGAATTCATTCAAATTTATGCAGTTCGTTTCTCGCATTCACTAATTTTTATCTCCCTCCGCACAAAGAATTTCCTTTTTTTTACGGTCTCGGCGTTGAATAAAAACTCGAGGGCTTTTCCCTTTTCTTTATTCCCCATTTTAAAAATTATTTTTTACTCTCCCCGCGGGTGGAGTCCATTGACGTTCCGCACTTGTTTGTTAATTTAATATTCACCGCTGAAATTTGACTTGGAAGTAGAATGGATCGGTACGTGAGTCTTTTTCCCATGGGTGATGTATATCATCAGCTCTCTATCATTTTCTCAGTCTCGTCTCGCTTACAAAGTATCGATCCTATACCCCTTGAAACACTTGGGGGATGGTTCTTCAAGTGAATGAGTTTGTTTGTCTCGAGAGGGTTGGGACAATTCAATTGGCCAGCGAGAGATCGCTGCTCTCTTCTAGCTATATTTATCTGTCTTTCTCACAACTTCTGGCTGACTCGGATGGTATCTTATCTACTTCTAACTTTTCTACTCATTCTTCTTTATGAGACTTTGGTTATTGATTTTTGATGATCTCCACCCTCTATTGCCCCCCTTTCTCTCACCCCCTCGCCAATTTTATCGATGAATGCAGAACCATTGATAATATCGGTTTACGAGTTGACGGGATTCAAGTATTTTTTTTTCGTAATATCATTGAACCAAGAATTTTTATTATTATCTTAATCTTCTACATTGAATCTTGAATGTCGAATTATTCATTTTTTAAAGGATTTTATCAATGGAATTGTTATAAAATAATGCATTTCGAAATTATAATTTTTTACTTTTTCCAAGATTTATTTGAGTTTTTAAAAATTCGTCCATTTTTTGGGAATAATTCAATTATTTAAACATAAAAAAATTTCGTTTTCACTTTATCCTTGGAAAATGATAATTTTTCAACAATCGACTTCAGACCCTAGAAAACAGAATAATAATTCAATCAATTTTCGGATGAAATAAAAAATTTTCCAAAGTCCTTTTTTCAGTAACATGAAAAAATGGAGCAATTGTGCACTATCGAAATTGGCGCGAAGTAATTAAATTTATCGTATTTGGCGTCTTTCTCGACACATTCCATTATTTCTTCCCGTCTCGCATTTATTTCTTCCGACGCTTCTTTTAAGAACATCGTAAAGTTCGATTCACCATTGAGGAGTGATGAGAAATAAAAGCTAGGGGTTTCGGGAGTGATGAGAAATAAAAGCTAGGGGTTTCG